AAAAAAAAAATTAGTGGGAAGGATTTAACACTGACGAGACACATAAGTAAAAGAATATATACATACATAGACCATTTCATTACGAGAATCTAATCTAAAAATAAAGTAAAAGAAAGAAAAATAACACAAAAACAAAAAAAAAAAGAAAAAAAGAAGTAACATCTCTCGTTCTGTTTGTGTGTCTGTGTATCTGAGTGTATTTGTACACTCGTGAATTGTTCTTTCTACTTGTCATCGCCATCGTTCTTCCGTCTTGTTATTAATGGGAACGGCTATTTCTCTAGCAGGAGATGCCTCTCGTGCATCTAATGGGCGGGCGGCATCGGTGGAGTGTGTCTCCAGAGTTTCCCCTTTACTTCCAGAGAAACCCAATAACATGAATGGATATGTATCGCAGAGAGCACAGTCCGCCGCACCACGACCATTAATGAATTTCGCGACGGAACGTATATCTTCATCTGCGCCTAATAGTGCGATATCTAGACATTCTAAAGAGTCTTGTAGTATAAACGGTTTAAGTGGTTCTATTGTGAGTAATGGATCTTTCAGTGGTTTGGAGTCGGGACAGGAGGTACGAACATCACCAGAGAAGTTTAGTTCGTTAATACGTCAAGCGAATACTTCTGTTGGTCTTTTAACAGTCAGTCCTATCAATCCTTCATTATCTCCTGAAGATATGGTTACTATTGAAGGAACAAACATATCTATAAAAGATTCACAGGGTCTGTTGGGGAAGAAGTCATCTGATTTAACACTCTATCAAGCCGATTTGCCAGACATTACTTCCCCTTCTCTCGTTGTCAATAAAGATGTGAATTCAGGATCTTTCTCAATCCCTCCGGTTTCAAGCCCTATTCGTAATAATACAGAGAATGATGCAAGTCCTGTAGCACCATTTCTTACGGAATTAAATATATCAAATTTCCCAAAAAGGAAAAATGACTCTAACAGTTTATTATCATCTGCATTCCCACGGTACTTCTCAGTTCCCTGTAGAACATGTCCATCATGGCTTGATGATGATAACTCGGATTCCATCACTCCACAAAGTGGTTTAAACTCGCGTGAACGAGGAATAAGTGATGGAAATGGTGGTGGTAATGGTGATAGAAGTAAAGTTTTCAGCAGAATGGTTTCTCTACGTTTACCAAATATCACCAGTGGCCTTGTGGAGGATGAAACAAATAATAAACAATCCCCCTTCCTCACACCACAAGCCCCACCCACACGACGATCGGAATGGAATCATTCTAGAGTTATTCGTAGCCCACAGGCGGGAGATCTACGAACTTCTGTCATTTCCACAAGAGGGAAAAGAGTACAACGATTAGGGAAACGTAAAGGACTCAATGTATTAAGTGCATCTGATGGGGCGATACATTCACCCTATTTGATGAGAGAAGTACTCATACAACCTAAAGGGAATGATTCGGTTTTACAAGACTCTCTAACGCCGGAAAACTGTTTATCTCCATTAGGAGATGAAAAACAGACAATGAGCCTGGCGACTATCCAAATTGCACAGCCAGATGGTGAGGAAGATGTGAAAAGAGAGAATGACAGCTTTTCTTCGGCCCTACGCCGATCACGGGCACGTATTGTCTCATTTGATAAGGTGGCTATTTTTTCTGATGTAGAACAGGAAGAATATAAAGAAGAGGAACAACAACAACAACAACAACAACAAGGACAAGGACAAAGACAAGAAGAAATCAGAGCGACAGAAGAAGAAGAACCCCATATGGTGGATGAAACGATGAAAGAGGAAGAAGTAGAAGAAATACGTTCCAAGAATTTCATCACCTCTTCATTCGAACTCTGTAAATTTATTCCTCTTCCTGGTAGTAGTAGTAGTAATCGGACAGGAGTGGCCAGTCCGACTTTTGAGAATCCCACTTCACAGATATCCACTGTGCTCAGTCAAAGTGATGTGATGGAGACCAGTTGTCATTACACCGCCTCTCCACTCACTAGTTCACCTCGACATTTAATTGTTCCTTTAGTGGAGCGGCCACAACGCGAAAATTTGGCACATCGACGTACCTTTCGCCCGAGGCCCGTGTTAATGGGCACTCAAAGTTTTCTGAAGAAACCTTAAGGAGTATCTACATAGTGAAGTTATTTCATGTTTTCTTTTTTTTTCTTTTTTTTTGGTTATTTTTTTTTTTCTTTTTCATCTCCATTTCGTTGATTTGGATTCCCCCTTTCTTTTTCTTCCTATATTAATGTAACTAATTCCCATTCCCTCTATTATGTATATATATATATATATATATATATATGCACACAGCTGTATTAATGCTGTTTAGCAAAGGGGACAGTATGGGAGAAGGATAGTGGACATTTTTTTTTTTTTTTTCCTGTTCATCCATTTTTTGTTTGTAATCTTTTTTTTTTCTAATTTATAGGGGTACGTGTGTCTTCCTGTTTTTTTTTTTTTTTTTATCCTTTTTCTATACTAGTTTACGATTATTTACTCTTTGATTCTGTTTATGCAAGAGAAGTAAATAAATCTGAAGTTCTGATTTATACGAAAAAACAACAACAACAACAACAGTGGGAACCTTTTCCGTGAAGGTAATAATATTAGGAGGCAAGAAATAAAAACCGTTTTTAAAATGTGAATGCGTACAAAGAAAAAGAAGATTGGATTTGGATAAAAATAGGAAGAGGGGAAACAATCAGAGAAAAAGAAAAAAAAAAAACAAATGAGTTGTTTAATTACCATTTTGTTAACATGTATGAAAATGAATGTATGTTTGTTTTTCTTTCCCCCCCCCCCTTTTGCCTTTCCTCCCCTGTGATCGCACACACAGAAAGAGAGAAAGAGAGAGAAATGTAGTTAACTGATGTGTGTGTGTGTGTGTATATGAACATGTAGAGAATGAATGGTTGTGTAAAGAGGTCGCATTCCCATATCTATCAAGAATGGGAAAAAAAGAAAAAGAAAAGTGACGCTTATTAATATTCCATTTATTCTTTCTATTTATATTAACAAACTTCCAGAGTGTTTTTTTTTTTTTTTTCCTGCTGAGCGATATTCCCAACTATTCTTTTTTTTTTCCAACGTTTATTCTTGTTGTTATTATTATGATAACTTGGCTGCGAATTGGTTGAGTATGATCGTAAGAGTTATTAAATGGTGTTTTTTCTTTTTCTTTTTTTTCTCTCTTTAGTCCGTATTAGACTATGGCCAGGGATGATGTTGACATTATTATTATTTCTTTTCTTTTTTTTTTATTTTTATTTATTTTTTTTTTTTTTTTCATTGTTTACTTGCATGCGGTTCTCTGCATGTTTGAGTGTCTTTTATTATCATAAATGGGGAAATGTTGGATATAAATATAAATCTGCACTAATGTGAGGCGTGAGGTGGGAGGGAAACAGAAGATTTAATTTGTTTCCTTTCTAGACTCATTCTTAAAAATATATATATATATATACCTTTTGAAAAATCCAACACTCTTTTTTATTTTTCTTTTTTTTATATCCATTGTGTTTTATTTCATTTTTTTTTTGTTTTTTTTTATTATTGGGAATATGAAAAATTATCTATACAAGGTAAATCTAGTACTTTCTCTTCAGTTATGTACATATTGAACGCATATGAAGAAGAAAAGAATAGGAAAAATACCCTAATATAATATAATATAATATATATATCTCTATAATATAGAGCGATGGAGATATATACATATATATAAATATATATATTTACATATTTACATACATATAAGGAATAAATCCCCATGTATGACCACATTTATATTATATTTCTAAGTGGTCCTTTTTGTTGTCAGTGTTGTATTTTTATTGTTTTCTTCATTTTCTTTCTCTCTTTCTTTTCAATGCGGTAGTGCCACTACTATTCACTTTACTTTATATTTTTATTTTTACTTTTTCTTTTCTCTACTTTATTCTTATTACCATCATCTATAATGGATTGTATCTCTCTCTATTGACGTATCAATCCAATCATTTTTGTTTATTCATTCCCCTTAACTATCGTTAAAAAAATATAATTCTTCCCTCTTTGAGGATGATGTGTAGTACTCCCTAGTTGTTTACGGTAGGACTTTAGTATGGATCTATTTTACTGTGTGTGTGTGTGTCTAGAGAGAGATGGAAAGATGGAGAGAGTGTGTGTGTGTATTTGTCTAATAATAATAGAAACAACATACAATGTGAATCTATGAATAAATTTTTCTTAATCTTTCTCTCTTCTACACCTACTGTTTAGTTTATTTATTTATTTACCCTACATTTATTAATATATATATATATATAGTGTGTGAAAAAATGGCGAAGGGGGAAAAGGATACCACAAAGAGGCGAGAACACAAACGAAGTAAAGAGTCAAAAGAGAAATCCAATAATGACAACACGGCAGCCTCTATAGATGTAGAGGCGGAGATGCAAGAATTACTTAAAAGTGGAGTGTGGAAGGCCCTCACACAGGAAGGAACAGGGAAAACGTATTATTACCATACAAAGACCAAACAAACTTGTTGGGATCTGCGAAAGGAACTTCAAAAGCAGCGGGCCGCAGCAGCAGCATCAGGAACAACAGCAGCAGCAGTGGAAACTAATATCAATACAACCACAGAAAAAGAAAAAGAGAAGGAAAAAGAAAAGAAGAGCAGTAAAAAATCCAAATCAACTGAAGTGAAGGAGAAGAAAGAAAAAGAAGAAGAAAAAGTAAAAGAAGAAGAGAAAGACAAGACCGTGGAGAATACAGAGATCCAGGCTTCTCCTGTTACTCATACTCTTACAGAGAAGAAAAAGAAAAAGAAGAAGAATACTAGTAGTAATAGTAGTAGTAGTAGTAATAGTTCCACCCCTCATCGACAGGATAGTTCACTGGATGTATACAGAGATCCCCTCGCCCGGTTGGTGGAGGAAACCCAACGGCTTCAACAGATCACCGCCACTAATAATAATAATAATAATAATAATAATAATTATAACTATAATAATAATAATAATAATAATTCCCACGCAATGGCATTAGAGTTTCAACGCTCTTACGATGCCCTCTCACGCACCAATCGCGCTCTCACCACACAAATGCTCCGCATGAAGGAAGAATATGATGCCATGGCATTAGCATTAAAGGAGGCACACCGATCATTATATGAAAAGGATCGAGCTTTACGTCAACAATCCACAAATGTGGAAACTATAAATACAGAGGTGGAAACCGCCCGCACACTCGCATCTCTGCGGGAACAAAATCAGGAATTAGTCCGACAAGTGGGAGAACTCAGTGTTACACTTGCACGTGGATTTGGGGAATTGGCTTATCAACATCATATGATTACATCAACATCTCCAACAAGTAATGCCGCTGCTGTTGAGATGAGTCCAGAGGCATTGGCGGCCCATCCACTGCAGTTAAGAAGACAACAGGAGTCTCTTGGGTCTACACTGGATCGTCTGCTTGCAAATCCCATTACACAGAAAATGCTCTGTCGTTCATGTACGGAGGAATTGGAAAAGTTACGTCTTAGTCTTTTACCAGAAGATGAACGAGTAGCAACAGCAACAGAAGAAGAAAATAATAGAACTGGTCTTCCACCAAAGATAACAACATCAACAACAACATGGAGAGGTAATCCACAACACTCACATGAAATGCCTTTTAATGCGAGTGGTCCTTCATTTAATCGTTTCGGTAATCCAATGACTGCTGCTGCTGCTGCTGCTGGGGCTTATACAAGTTCTTATCCACCATCTTATTATCCATCCCAACAACAACCACAACAACACCAGCAGCAGCAGCAGCAGCAGGGTTATTATGGTTTAGAAAACACACCGGATGGTTGGCAATCGCAACTAAATCCACATCCTCAACGACGTTCTTCTAGTGACGCCTACGCGGATCATTTTCCAGATTTTGCAATGAACCGACGATCTGAATCACGTGTTTCTACTGTTAGTGCAACGCCTGTATTTGGTGGATTCCGTATTCGTCCCGCATCGTAATTCACTCTTATTATTATTATTATTATTATTATTATTATTATTATTTTTACATTTTTGTATTTTGTTTATTTGTTTCTTTTTTAGTTTATTTATTTATTTATTTATTTATTTATTTATTTATTTATTTTTTTTACTCTTTCAGAGATGTATGGACCATGTATTATGATGTCAAAGGTTACGCTGTGAAGAAGAATAGCATTGAATGATGATAATAAAGATGATAGGTAAGAAATGAGGTGATTTCTACTGACATAGAGTACGAGAATAAGAATAAGATAAATCTGTGATGTTTGTCAACAGTTTTCTACAAAAAATTATCGAACTATCATATATATATATATATATATATATTATTTAATTATTTTATTTTTATTTTCTTTTCATTGAGATTCCCTGGTGTTCTCTCGGTGTATGTGTGTTTAACAGGCATCATTGTACCTTCACGCTTTACCTCCCTTTCAATACTCTGTCTAAATAATAACAATAATATCAATCTAAAATAGGTATTTACCTGTAGAGTATTCAGGTGTGAATAAATAAATGTATGTGTATAATAATATTAATAATAATAATGTTTAAACATTTATTTCTATTTTTTTTTTTTTTTGTATGTAAATATATTTCCTTCTCTATCGCCACCAACACCAACACCATTACCACTACTACTATAACAGGAAAGGGAAGTAGAAGAAGGAAACGAGGTATAAAGCCGTTGTGTATATAAAAAAAAGAAAAAAAAATGTATTCCGAAACGGAGAAGCCACTACCAACAACAACAACAACAACATCAACAACAACATCGGTACCTCCGCCGGTTGTGCGAAGGCGAGGTCGTGGTACATTTAATCAACCACTACGTGCAGATCAACCCACCACTGTTACTATTAACAACAATAATAATAATGCGGCAAACGATGGGGCCTCTGTACTCACAACAGTGACGACGGCCGTACTTCCCGCCGCCTCCATCGTCTCATCTCAACAACGGGCACCGGAGGAACATCTCGCGGCGGAGTACGGCGGGCAGAAGAGAGATATTCCTCTCAACATGCGTGAGAACTTTGGTGTGTGTGAAACCGAACATGAGGCGGACACCGTTCGTCAATTACTCTTTCGAGGAGAAAAACGTCGTCGTTATTGTGTGATTGTGGGAGAACTGCAGAATCCCAATAGACCTATTACACTTAAACTATTTGGTCATAAAGGGCTTAAACCGTTTAAACTGCAGAATAAACTTATTCGTTTGGTCAACATCAGTGTGGGAAGACCACGGGCACCACGTCCTGCAATGGATGGCACAGAAGATGAGATGCGGCATCACAATGATGATGATAGTGAGAACAACAGCGACGAGGAACATCAAGAAGTGGAAAAGGGTGAGAAGGAAGTGAGACATGAAGAAATGAACAACAATAATAATAACAACAACAACAATGAGAGTGGACAACTGCAAGAAGAACGAGAAGGAAGTTACAGTAAACAACAAGAACAACAAGAACAAGATGAAACTTCTATCCCAAAAGAAGAACGATCCCCACAAGAGGATCATCATGAAGACGAAAAATCAGATCAACATAATTCTGCTACGAGAACAGGTAGAAGTTCTTGTGTACACGAAGATGTTGATGGATATACAAATTTAGATGATGTTCTTCCACTTACTGTTGAGATGCGTGATGCCAATGCCACTAATATTGGACAACCATCATCTGTAGCAAACAGTCCTGTTCTCACCGCAACACGCTTTGATACTCTTCAAAAATATTTCTTTAATGAATTTAAATATCTTCTTAGCTTAGAGGATGTTCGTATGCAGCATGTCTCTATTAATTTAAATCTTGGGGCAGCTTACTGTTGCCTTGCTCGAGAAGGATCATACAGTACACCACTTAAGTATGCCAGTTTCAGTGAATTTGTACAACGTATGAATGAGGAATCTATGCAACTATATTTCCTTAAGGATGCCCCAGCGTGTGTGTCTCGTGCGGTAGATAGAGAATGTGGAGCACTTCAATCGGAGGCGGTCTTTTCACTTGTTAAGATTTGTTTCTTTTCAAATGAACGTCAAAGTCGTTCAGTGGCGAGGGCATTATGGGATGCTCATGAGAATCGTTTTGTTCTTCTCGATATGGAGAACTCCGGTGTGACCTTTACATGGACGGTATTCTCTGTGGATGAAACAGGCATAGAGAGTAGTGGGGCAAACACCACCAACACTAATAATAATAACAATAATAATAACAACAATACATCCACAACGGGATCTACAGATGGAAATGGGGCATTTCGTAAGAAAACGGTGGCATTTCCATTTGAACTCGAACTTCACGCCTACCGTCGATGGAAACAACACACTGAACATCCTGCTGCTCCTATTGCAGAAGCTATTCTTGATAAGCTTTCACTTGCCGAACACAATTTAATTCACTACGGTTCAACCATTGGTTATGAAAGTATGGATCTTTCCCATGTCTGTGAGGTGGATGCGGAATCTGAGGACTTTAATGTGGAAAGTATTATCGTTGAACACACCGCACGAGTAAAGCCACGGGGAACCGATCTCACTGTAGACAGTACATCCTCTTTATGGATTGAAAACTTTGCTGCGGCTCGGGCGTTAAAGAATCGCCTTGCCCAAGGTCTGGTGGATCGCAACAGCAGTGTGTACAGCAGCAATAATAATAATAACAGCAGCAGTATGGGAGGCCACAGTGGACGGGACCGCACACGGGGCCGGGGCCGCGGTCCACCGCTGCCGCATCTCTCGAAGCCGCAGACACTCACGCCGACTTCTCGTTTGACATTCTTCCGCTCACGTGGGAGTACTGTGCATTGGAAATTGCGGCCGGGCTGCAGTGCGGAGGAGAATTTGGCGCCACTTAGTGAGGCCCTGCGGTTTGCACAGCAGGTGATTAATACCGCAAATGAGATTGAACGAACGTCTGTGCGGGGTGGTGCTGCCCCAGATGCTTTGTAGGGAAAAATAGAAAGAAAGAGAAAAAGTGAGAGAGTTCAAGAATCAACGATTATATGATAATCTTTTTTCTTTCTCTCTTTTTCTCTCTGTCTGTTTGTGTTGTATTCCAAGTTTTGTTCCTTTCTTTCTTTTTTACTTATTTATTTTCGGAGAAGTGAGTAAAGACTGAAGAACAGAAGGAGGAAAAGGACACTGAAATCATAAAGAGCGAAAATGATAGAACGACATGTTTCTGTTTTACGTTTAGTTGTTTTTTTTTCTCTTTTTGGTTTGGCTTTTTACTTGTCGCTGATCTTCTTTTTTTTTGTCTCTTTTCTTACAATGATACATTTCATGTATTTTATTTTTATTCCTCTTTTGTTTATTCTCTTTAAGGGAGAGTTAATAAGGAAGGTCTCTCTTTTTTTGTTTGTCTGTGTCTCTCTGTGCGTGTTTTTCTGGGCAGTCGTCTATCAAGGTTTTTTTTCCTTTTTTACATAGTGGAATCAGTTGTTTCGTGTAAGAAAGAAAGAAAGAAGGAAATTATTATTTATACTTCTTTTTTTTAGGCGTTAGAATTACCTTTTTTCTTCAGGAATAACAAAAAAAAAAAAAAAAAAAAAAACAACTCAACAAACAAACATCCGTATAGGTAAAATATCTTTATATATAATATATTATTTATATATATATATATTTTGTCTGTATCATATATTATATTATATATATATATATAGTATATATATAAAATATATAATTAAACATAATGACATCTGGAGATCCTGCTGATTATATCTTGCTACAAGAGCAAATTGCTACAGTTAAACAAGTATTCAGTACAGCCCTGGCGCGTGAACTTAATCTAATCGAAGCACAAGCGCCTATTCTCGCCCGTGTTGGGGATGGTACTCAAGACAATCTTTCTGGATATGAAAGGGCTGTACAGGTGCGAGTGAAGGCTATACCTAAGGCCGAGTTTGAAGTGGTTCACTCACTCGCCAAATGGAAACGACAAACACTCGCAGATCACAAGTTCCCTGTTGGGAAAGGTATATATGTGCATATGCGTGCACTTCGTGTGGAGGATACACTCGATAATATTCATTCCGTCTGTGTAGATCAGTGGGATTGGGAATTGGTAATGCGACCAGAACAACGTACATTGGAGTTTCTACAAGGAATTGTACGTCGTGTGTATGCCGCAATGCGAGAGGCGGAAACCATTATTTGCCAAAAGTATGATTTGGAAGCCGTACTCCCGAAAGATATTCACTTTATTCACAGTGAACATTTGTTAACCATGTTCCCAAAGGATGATCCAAAGGACCGTGAACGGGCTATTGTGAGAAAATACGGTGCGGTGTTTCTCATTGGGATAGGCGGTAAACTCAGCAGTGGAAACTCTCACGATATGCGAGCCCCGGACTATGATGATTGGTCCTCCCCACTCTCTGTGGAGGCGCCTGTGATGGTTTCTGAGGATCCCACCGTAAACTCACTGGTTTCCCTGCAGGGATTGAATGGTGATATTCTTGTCTACAATCCTGTGCTGGATGATGTGCTGGAGTTAAGCAGTATGGGCATTCGCGTGGACGCAGATACACTTCGACGTCAACTGGCTTTACTTGGAAATGAGGATCGTTTACAATATGTTTGGCACAAGCGATTATTATCAGGGGAATTTCCTCAAACCGTTGGAGGAGGTATTGGACAAAGTCGATTGGCCATGTTTTATCTTAAGAAGAAACATATTGGAGAAGTACAATGCAGTGTATGGCCTGAGGAGACACAGCAGGAATTTGATGTGCTTTGACATTTTTTTTTTTT